ACGTTCCGTTCTCTAATACATACTACTCGTCAAACATCAAACATTCCCCTATTATTTTCAATATTTTCACACGCGACTGTCTAGCTAGCCACTTGCAATCGCGTCTATTTCAAAAATAGAGATACGTTGCAATTGTTGATATGCTGCGATAATTTAGTGTGACTCTCCAGCTTGAGGGACCAACGCTTGAAGCCAATATCCCACCTTTGAAAAACCTCAGTTTGTTGCGAAAGTTATATATATATACCTCAAACCATATTAATTATTTTTAAAACTGACACGTACCCTGGAACGTAAAAAGACTTTTTAGATTTTAAATGGCAAAGTATAACGCGCCTTATACAGAGGATATCCTATACTTTTCTTAACTTTTTGTGGTCTGTCCAGTTATTTCTTCACTTTCTTTGGCCAATTTGTTAACTTTTCTGTCTCTTTTTTTAAAAACTGCTTCACATTGATTAGTTACAGTAACTTTCTAGGACAGAACAAGGTTTGGTTAACACCTTACTAAAAATAAAGAGTTAATTATAGCAGTCAACAGCGCAGTGAGATGAACACAGAAGCTTTTAATCAGAGTCAATTATTGTGACTTCTAAGCTGCTAATGTTCAAGGCATGAAGAACTCATTCAATCAGGTGCCGACTCCACAAAGAAGGTGGCTTTTCTAAGTTGCTCTATCTGTTGACTTGGTTGTGCACTCTCTCAGACTGCTGTAGGTCTATCTCATTATGTTGTTCTCCTACTTGCCTCTTTGTCTACCTCTTGCTCTCTCTCTCCCTACAGTATGGTCTTTAAAAGCGTATTGCGTCTTTTAATGTGGACAAAATACTTTAATTTTTTGTGTGCACTTCTCTGTTCATTGGCAATCTCTCCAGAACTGATGTATAAAGTAGTATGCGGCCTAGACGTCTATGTATCCACATTTACAGACTCAATTGGATTGTCTAATTGCTGGTTGATTGTCCAAGTCATTTTATTATATTGTTATTTTAGGAAGGTTGCAAAAGCAAAACGTCAATAGGAGAGGCCAAAGGTGCTATCTGATCCCTAAAAGACTGCCCTGTGTAGAACTGAATGGAGGAATGGGCTGCGAGTCGTATCTGACATTTAATGAGGCAACGGTCATACTATAGTAGCAGGTATTAAAAGCCCTCGTTATTCGGCACATAGCCTAAGAATTGAAATTATATAACGGCATCTGAAATGTGCACACACATACTGTATATATATAATTATATATAATATAGTGGGTTCTTGGCCCAACTGTTTGGACAAAAAGAATAGACCCACTCCTTACCCAACTAACTGGGGGCATCCTTCGAAGTCGGAGTACATAGGCCAGATTTGTCAAACGAATGTGAAGGTAATGATTATGTTCTGGAACAAGACTATAGTCCAGTGGTGGACGAACAACCAGAACTTTCGCCCCAGTTTACATGAAGAAGAAGGGAAAGAAGAAGACAAGGAAGAAGAAGAAGTAAAAGAAGAAGAAGAAGAAGAAGAAGAAGAAGAAGAAGAAGAAGAAGAAGAAGAAGAAGAAGAAGAAGAAGAAGAAGAAGAAGAAGAAGAAGAAGAGGAAGAAGAAGAAGAAGAAGAATAGAAGAAGAAGGAGGAGATGGAGATGGAGATGGAAATGGAGATGGAGATATACGCACACACACACATACACATATTAACACATACAGTTTAGGGTAAGAATATGTGATTAGTAAAGAAATAATACAAAGGTGCGATATAATCGAAACAGTCTTGCCTGAAGGCCTTGGGTTCGACTGGAATTTAGTGTAACTGTCCTTAGCACCCAGGTCGACCCACCCTAAAATAGATACTGCAAGATGTCTTTGTAAGTACGGGCATCCAACGTGATGAACATATCACCACGGAACGCCTGTTAGTCAACACAAACATGAGCCAAGCAACACGTGCTGTGTGCGCAACTAGTATCAGACGGCCACTTGTTACTTTACTATCAAATCATCATCCTGTAAGATTATGTGACGTTGGGTCACTAGCTGCTGTTAGATTGTCTGATCAGATACCTACACTTTTGACGTTCAGGTGCACGGTGGACTTCATGAATGCATGCCTAAGGCCTGTCCAGTAAGTTCTCTATCCAGGTCTTTCATAGTCTGCCTTGTGCCCTTCTACAGAGTCCTGTCGTGTCGTTTTCGAGAGGGCCGTTAGATTTTATTAAATGTCAATCCCATTGAAGTTCCGCCTTTTCACTGAAGTTAAAAAAGGTTCATAGTTGCCAATCTGCTTGGTAATCATTCGGAGAACCTTGTCATTTTGTGATGTGGACTTTTTCTATGACATGCCAAGAAGTTTACTGAAAGATCACATCTCCAAAGCTTATATATTCTTTTCCAAATCAGTTTTCAAGGTCCATGTTTCAAAGCCATAGTTTACTATGGAGGGTTAAAATAACTTATTAAAGTATAAGTACTAAATTACACACCTGGAGGATTTGCCTGTCTAGAATCAAGATTGTGTGGCTTGGCTGTCTTATTATTTGATTCCACAGTCTGCGCACTGTTAGCACAATTCTGGAATGAATGTGGGATCTGTTGCATACGTTTGTCTCTTTCATGTCTGCATCTCCTATGTGATAAATATAAATACATTATTTTAGTTATATCTTTATGCTTTTTTTTTTTTGCGTGTACGTTTTTGTTGTTGCTCAATTGTCAGCATCCCCATTATCATCATTATTAGTTGCAACTGCGCCCTAGTATATGACATACTTGTTTTTGTTCCTTTAAAGCCCCATCCCGGCTGTCGTCGGGGGCCCAAATAAAATAACCGTAGGGTTGAACGGTGTTTCTGGGACTTGAGAATGGGGAAATCCTCCTCTGAATGTTGGCATTCTGTGTCACTCTGTGTTAGACGCTCTTTGTGCAGTTCTGGTGGAGTTGAATGTCACTCACTCACTCCCTCACTAACTCACTCACTCACTCACTCACTCACTCACTCACTCACTCACTCACTCACTCACTCACTCACTCACTCACTCACTCACTCACTCACTCACTATTAGGCACCTCAAAATACCTTAGATCAAAGGTTCTCAAACTTTCCAGCCGCGGCACCCTTGTAGGGCTAAAATAATTTCGCGGCACACCTACCCTGAATTCAAGCCGTTGTTTACTTAGGAAAAGAAGAAAAAAAGTGCATATTTAATGATCACTTGTCTTTAATGCGTTGAATGAAACTGTTTAGATGAATTTTGCATTATTTCCTTTTCATTTTCATTTTTAGAAATTCACTCTTTCATGGATGACCCTGCCTGAAGAGACAAAGCGTGGCGTTTGAAGATTTTTTAATCCTCTATGTACTAAATTAAAAGGAGGATGACCTTGGCAATGCAAAGATTGAACAGCCTTAAAAGTCTATGGTTAAACACCAGCAAGGAGATAAAAATTAGAATTTTGAGAGCATGCATCTTCCCTGGGGCTACATACGGATGTGAGTCGTGGACTATCTCTCAGTCCTTAAGAAAGAGAGTAGGAGCTTTTGAGCTGAAATGCTATAGAAAGATTATCAGAATATTTTGGACAAAAAAGAGGAGAAATACTGACATCTTAAAAGATCTGAACATCAAGGAAGATTGGCTAATAAACAGCATCCTTTCTCGGAAGCTAAAATATTTTGGTCATATCGGATTGGAAAAAACTATAGCAGAAGGCATGGTACCAGGAAGGAGGGGCAGGGGCCGACCGACACGAAGATGGGCACAGAATATAAGTGACTCCTTGAGTATGAAAGTATATGAGGCAGGAGAACTCGCGAGAGACCGAGTTTCTTTCAGGCAGACTGTGATGAGAGCAACGCTCCGCAAAGGACCTGCTACATGATGATGATGACTAAATCATAATAATTGCGTTCCAGATGTTTCTGTAATTTAGACGAAACCAAGCAGCTGTTAGCAGCAACACTTCTATGGTAGTTAACGCATTGCCCTTCCGGTGCCTGTTCATTCCCAAACAAAGCCAAACGAAGAAAGGTAGGTAGGATAATATTTTCTCAGTTTTCTTTGGATTTTCTTGTGGTCGTGAGTTGCCTTTTCGCGAACTGAGGCAGACCAACTTGGATGGCGTAGGCTCGCAAGTGTCTGCTGAGAAAAGGTAGCCTAACTTGACTTACAAACTGTACCTTAATGAATGCAGGTAGAGGATCGGTCCCACCTCGAGAAATACAAGGACAATTCCTAGAGTAACTGTTGGCATTTTATGCAATATGAAACAGGGCTGAGTGTGAAACAAACAACAAACTCTTTTTGACAGCAGCGAGGAAAGACAACTTAAATTGTATTGCTTAAGTATCTACATGCATTCTTAAATAATTTTAAAATGTTTAGCCCACTTCTCTTGATTACTGCCACTGCACCTCTGGCATATGCTCGCAGCCTCTAGGGTTCAGTGGCACCAAGTTTGAAAACCTGTGCCTCAGATCCCTTTAGGGTACTACCCCCCCCCACCTCGCCCCTCCCCCCCACCCCCCCATGGAGATAATTTAAAAGGGTCCCGAAACACACCAATACCACCACTACCACCCTCTTCTCAAGGCCTCTATATTTTCTTTGTCTCTCTGATAATACTCTCTCTCTCTCTCTCTCTCTCTCTCTCTCTCTCTCTCTCTCTTTCTCTCTCTCTCTCTGCCATTTGAGGTGAGGAACAAATATTCCTGCTCATTACCAAGAATAAATCCTGATGTACGGGCTAGTCACAAATCATGTGGAAACTGCAGAGATGAAGTTTTGTAGAACAATGATGAGAACACGAGATCAATGAAGAATGTATTGAATATCGTCTTATTCAGTGCTTATCCTTAACATGAACGTTGACATTTAGTGTTGCGATTTAAATTAGTCTGTGATGTCTACGCCTTTCGGCCACGACGCATACGATTTTAGCAAATCTTTAATTAGTTGCCTTTTAGGACATATTAAAGAGCAGTGTGTCTATACACTGTTGCATGTGTAGATTAAGTTCAGTCATTACCTCCAGATAAGCACACTAGTAACAGCTAACGTAACCAGTACAACGAAGGCGACCACTGATCCCACAATGGCTGCTAAATGAGAATCAGGTTCGCCTGGTCCAAGACTTTTCAGCTCTGACGGAAACAGAAAGAACAAACACGTTATGTATTATCTTGATAAGGACATATTGGTTACAATATATGTCTTCTACTGCCTTTTTAACTCCCACTAGAGAATAGGCTCTCAACCAACTCACGCCTAGTCGTTCTATCCTTCACTATCACATGCAGCTCTTTCCATCTTTTTACCTTCACTCTTTAGCTTCTTTGTTACCGTGGTTTTTGTTGTTGTTGTTGTTGTTGTTGTTGTATTTCTTGATTTTTTTTAATACCCATATAGGTTCCAGTGCAAAGACTTTCCAGTTATATTGTTCTCAAATTTTCTCAACGTGTTTCCTGAGCAACGCCAGTCTCTTGACCTCTTGGTTCACTAAAACTTATTTAGTTTTCTCCCGAAGCTCACCATTATTGAATATATATATATATATATATATATATATATATATATATATATATATATATATATATATATATATATATACACAATATATGTACTGGATATAAACTGTAACTCCCTACGTCTCCGCGATTTCTAATATCTAACAGATCGTTACATTTTCACAAGAAGCATACATACCTACACAATCTATGCATATCATCTATACCTCTCCATACCAACAGATTCTTTCCATGTCCACTAGATCTCTACATACCTACGGAACTTCCACAGAAACACAAATGTTTGATTTGTTTAACGGAAAAAAAATTACGCCATCATAATGTATCAGGTCGTCTGCTGAACGTCGATCGCATAGTACACCTCAGATAACGTATAGCTTTTTGGTCAACTTCTTCTGTCTGATTGATTTTCATGTTTAGAGGGTCTTTATTATGCCTCCCTGAGGGTTTCTTTTGGTTACAGTCTTTTTCCCTAAATATATTACACCATTTAATGAAATCAGTTAGCATGGGCATCGTAAGAAGTGACGCTGGGAAATTATTCGGAATTTCGATAAAGTTTCTTAGGGAAAAAGAGCTACTTTGAGATTTTGCATCTTTTCTGTGGCAACTTAACGGTGTTAGCCAATGACTCTCTCTCTCTCTCTCTCTCTCTCTCTCTCTTGCTCTCTCTCTCTCTCTCGCTCTCTCTCTTGCTTCTCTCTCTCTCTCCTCTCTCTCTCTCTCTCTCTCTCTCTAAGTCTTTGAAGAAGAAGAATTCGAATGTGGACAATTTGCGTGACCTGAACACCAAGGAGATAGCCCTCATTCTCTCCCAAAATCTGAGGTATTTCGGCCATGTCAAGTGCCATTGTGGTATAGAAAGAACGATAGTGCAAAGTGCACATGTGGATACAGAACATTGAAGATGCAATGGCTGTGAAAGAACACATGGTTGGAAAATTGGATAGAAAAAGATAGACTTTCAGGTGTGCACCTGTAATGAGGTGAATTCCCAGGGAGGTAGGTTCAAAGGGTTTCCTGAGATGACGTAGCAGTATTACAGGTCAGTAAGAAAAGGGTAAAGCAAGGGAACTGATATTTACGTGTGACTCTGAACAGTCACAAGACTAAATCCCGTGAAAAGGGAACAAGGGTTGTTGGAAGAATAGTAGGAGTTGGAGAAGTAGTGGAAAAGGAAGAACTAGTAATAGTAGGAGAAAAAAGAGAACAAGAACACCAGTTAGACGGGAAAACAAGCCTCTTGAAATCTGGCTTTGTGAGAAAATGATAACAAACATTGCAAAGTGATCATATAGTCTAATAATGAGCTGCTTGTCTTGACATCTACCACTCTTCTATTAAACTATACAGCATACCCTTGTCACACAGCTCTCCCTCTTTGCCTGCTATACAAGACAAGCACGTTCCGTTAGTTGGTTGACAGAGTAGATCTGCACAATTAGTGTTGCATTTCTGGGAGCAGTTAAGTCCAAAATATGTTTTGCTACAGGCTGTAAGATTAAAGTATTAAAAACACAATGTCAGTGGAAATAAAATTTCGCCAAACTTGTAATACGAATGTAGTTATTTATACATTTCTTTTTAATTATTGGGGTGCACGTCTGTTCTTTAATTACTAGAATAACACCCTTTTCTACGCCTTTTATTATGCCTTCAGAGCTAGACTTATATTTTATAGACTAAGCGGCACACTGTGGGTGCTGCAGTCAACAGCACGCCGGCCGACTTTACTACCCATGACTCTATCTGGGTCGACCAGGGAGCCAAGGTAATTTTTTATTTTGAAAAAACGTCCGGCCAGGTCAGGACCAGAACCCACCACCTTCCGATCTGTTGGCGAAGATCTAGCAACTAAACAATGCCAGCTGCTACAAAAAACAAAAGTAACTTCTTTCATTATGTTAAAAAAAGTCACCAAAGCAAAAGCTCCACGAGAAGGTAGAACTGTTATCATTATAATTATTGTCATCTATCGTGTGGATCCCTGCATGTCTTGCGTAGAGATTTAATGAAGCCATCCTTCATTGACTAGATGACACCTGATTTATTGACAGCTTCCGATCGGTCATGATTCGTCATTTTAAATAATCACTGTTTTTGTATCAGGCTTGCAGTCCTATCCCTTGAACCTAAAATTAATTACCAGCCAGTTTGAGCATCATAAGATCCTTACAAAAATTATCAAAACCTTACGAGTTCTACATCCTTCCCCCTGGTAGCCTGCAGTACAGCCTGAAGGGCATCCTCCAGTACTGATGAAACAGTTTTCTCCTTCCTTAGCGCAGTTACAGCTGTTCTCACATTCTCTTCCGTAGTGTCCTGCTGGACACACTGTGTCTGTTGAGGATATTCAATATAACTGCTTATTTTATAAACAAGACAACTACAAATAGTACAAATAGTAGACGAAGATCATCCGTAATAACTGAACACAATAAGAATCAGCAAAGATAGCCGAAGCGAAATTAACACATTCTTGCGCCATTGTCAGGAATCCATTTTAAGATTTGTCGACATAGACGCGCACGCCAATTTTAAAAATTTGCTTTAATGGGGATTTCAGCCTAGGACTTTTAGATCGACAGGCAAGACTGTAGCCACTGCACTGCTGCACCTCCATATACCAGTGTACAATGAATACCATTTGAATTTTTTAATCTTGTCATTCTATTCCTGCAGTGTATCTCAAATAACTAAATTGTTTGGATGTATTAGGTGACTAAAAACACAAGAAGAAGAGAATTGTAGAGCCAAGCTAAAAATGTCCAAGAGGTTTAGTAGGCTTCACATGTTGGTAAAGTATAGGACGACTTTGTGCAAGTTTTAACAACCCATATTCCCTTTTTGTCCTTGGGGGAGTGGGAGAGGGGGGTTTAGAACGAGATGAAGAAGAGAGGAGGGTGCTTAGGAGCAAGTGGAGGATGATGTCCTAATTATACAAAAATAAATTTAAAAAAAATAATTAGTTAGTTAGTTAGTTAGTTGGGTTATCATCATTGCACTCCGGACATGTCCATAGGTGCTCAGATCCTTCCCTCAGTATGAATCCCAACGTCCGATGGCTAATAGTACCAGTTCTATGTTGATTAACAAGTCTTCTGACGTGTCCGGTGTGCGTCTCGTTTTTTGCTGTGCCGATTTAAAAAAATAAATAATAATTCAACTCCTACTAATAAAAACATAATGTGGATACACGTGCTTATAAAGTAATCTAACCACATGTTTGATTTGCTGCTTGCACAAGAGTCGAGAGAAAGAGGTTTCGTTCCTAACACTGATACGTGAGCTCGTGGATTTTTATCTGGGTATATTATAGACTGCCTTTAAGTTTATTTTCAAGACTCATCTGAGTCCCTGGCCATTCGGGATTGTCTGGATATTGACAGGTAGTTTACTATTTATGGTGACTGTCGATTGTCAGGTAGTCAAAGTTAATAAATTCGTCACCTCAGTCTGGCATCTACTCTCACATCTGTGAATATATAGTATTAGATTACAAATGAAACAGAGACAATTTTTTTTTTAAATCAGCGTATAGTATTCAGATGTGTAAACGAATACAAGACTGGCTGTAAACAAAAAGAAACTTAGATGTAGTTTATATAGTCCAAACTAAAGTATAAACCGTTTCCATATGTTACAAATTGAAGTTTAAAGTCGAGAGGATCGACTTTATTGCACCGATTTTATCCCACATGGATCGGTCTCCCTCCGCCGACCTCCTTGCCGAGGGCATAGCACAAAGCACGAGTTGCGTAGCTCCAGCGACGGTCCAATGGATCTCCGTAAAAACTGCGCTCGTGAACTGAACGACGCAGCCGTGAAACAAACCCACGACCTTCAGAACTATAGGCAAACGGCTTGACCACTTCACCACGGAGACCCCCGGGTTTTTAGATGTGTGAAAATATAAAGTCACTGATTGTTAGTGAAGAGAAAGATAATGAATTGCTTACCAAGTGAAGTACATATAGCTTTGAGGTTAAGTGTTTGGGTATTGCTTTAGTAAGTAGCAAAGATCTCTTTTCACGCCTTAGGGGGCATCGGACGTATGAGAAAAGCGCCATTATTTTTACAGCCCAATCGGCACTAGGTGGGTAATGCGATAAGCATTACGCCGGCCGTCTTTACTTCTCCGGGACATACATCCTGGTACCAACTTTAGGCCTGGTCGATTTGCGACGCCGCATACCATGATAAAAGTCCACGCAGCCATCAGTGAGTTTCGATCGCGGTATGCGGGAATTACGAGTCGGACTCGTAACGCCTGAGCCACGGACGACACATGTAAGAAAAAAAAAAAGATGTGCTTTTCTTACCGCCAAACATTTCCACCTCACACAGTACCACAAAGGCCTCGTCCGTTCCGTTACGTGTGACAACAATTCTGACGATTGATACCGGTATCATAGGAGCATTAGACTGGATTCTGTAAATACCCTGGTTTGTTTTATTGAGGTCATTGTAAGCAAACGCCAGACTTTTGTTGTCCTGATCAGCTTCCAGCATGAACCCCCAGAGTCTTTCTTGTAGGACTAGAACATAAAGAAAGAAAGTTTGTACTTTCACAAAGGTGCACACACGGCTTTGTATCCATAACTATTGCAATGTTAAGCGTATTCGAAAAATCGTATCTGAAAGTATAGAAATGTGTGACAAATACTCAAAACCAGAACTTCTTCACATTGTTTGAGACCGCTTAGCACCTATACAAGTTATGTAAAAGAAAACGGATTTGGTAGTGCCTGGGGGAGGGGGAATGGGAAGGGGGCTTGTTCCTAATTATTTTTCCTTGGAGGACGTAAAAACCTCGCAAAACCTTACAGTCGCTACATTAGCCAACACAGAACAGGAGTCTTCAGCATAAACACACTGAGAAACATACTTATGGGCGTGCCCGATGTGCAGTGAGAGTGATCTTGAAATGAACAATGAACGATGCCCAATTTTCCCTGGAGGGATCACGTGGCCAAAGCCACACACTTCCCCCCCCCCCAACCTCTCCCAGATTCAGACGTCACCGACTTAATTAGTCATGCAGATTACAAAAGGGAAAAGTCTTTTTTTTTTTTTTCGTTATGACGGATGAAACAATACAGTGGGCATATGGGCATACGAATTTGTGTTTTACATACTTCACCACAAAGCGAAATTATCATATTTCTGATTTAAGCGATACATCAGTAAGCACTCACTGTCTCTGTTGTAAAGGACGTATCTGTCTACGTGATGGGGTCGATCGAAGTTCAGTGTCCAGGTGGGTGTTTGGTCATTCAGGAACGTGTGGGAGCAGCTTCCATGTTCCAGGTGAGGATCACTATTCCCATCTACAGCATGCCAAGAAAACTGGTTACGTAAGACGGAACTCTGAATGGTATTTTGTCCCAGTGCAACATTGCGTCCTGAAAATAGAATAAGTTAAAAAGTTTTTTAAAAAAATTAAAAAATTAAAAGAAAATAAAGATCCCTTTTCACGCCTTCAGGCGCATGGGGCACATGGAAAGAGCACCCATATTTTTACAGATCTATCGGCACTAGCTGGGTAATGTGGTTAGCATTACGACGGCCGTCTTTACTTTCCCATGACATACAGCCTGGTAACCATTTTAGGCTGGGTCGACCGGCGACGCACCATACCATGATAAAAAATCCACGCAGGCAGCAGTGGGATTCAATCGCGGTACGTTGGAATTACGAGTGAGACTCGCAACACCTAAGCCACGGACGTCGCGTTGAAAATAGAATGGTCACATTTTATTGGAAAGTCGACATAAACGAGACTCGGACACAAAAATAATTAGGAAACTCCACAGGGGAGCATACACAGCAGGAGTCTACCGGTCATCAGTAGAATGTCTTTCGTCGACAATTGTTTCGACCCGTTACAATCCTAAACAATCTCGGAAAGTGGGCCCACATGGTTCATGACTCCAGACCCTAGTAAATCTCCTGTTGCGCTTGATGAAAAATGTACTTTATCGGACGAGACGAAAGGATTGTCCTTGTAGAAAAGCCTGGGGATTTGTTATGGACACTATATTTTCGCCATGAGGCCAGTTTGCTCAGAATTTCCTGAACTTCCGTAAACACATATCTGAACGTACCATAACTGATTGATTTGTTCGAGCTTTGATTCTAACTGGACCTCAATATGCTTGTAGATATTCTGATTTTTGTTTATTCAAAATACACAGTTGGTGATGCGTCTATGTTACACTGCTGGGATAACGATAAGGAGTTGAATTCTCCATCAGCTGCTGAAGATGGGGAGGGAGTGTCACGAATGCTGTGATATCAATTCTCAGCTCAGCCAAATCCAACCAACTAGTTGTAGATAATTACGATTACCAACACCTCGCAGCATTGGCTTTAAAGAGAGGATTTTGGGAGAAGGCTGTGATGTCAATGTCGTAGCGAATTATAGATCATCCAGCTCGTATGTCCTGTGTGATTAAATGCAATGCAAGAACTACCGCCAGCAATGACGTTTCTGTATCTAAAAAAGTAAATGGATCCATTTCCACGCCTTTCAGGCGTATTGGGTACATAGGGCAAGACCGATATTTTATACACCAAACGACACTTGGCAGGTGATGTGGTCAGCATATCGCCGACCGTCTTTACTTCTCAAGACTGCACCTGGTACACACTCAAGGATGGGTCGACCTGGAAGCCAAGGTCTTCTTTGAAACAAAGTCTGCACCCTGTCAGGAACCGAACCCACGACCTTTCGTTCCTTAGGCTAGTGTCTAGTCGCTAGGCCACAGCGACTCCATTTCTGTATCTGCACTATAATAATACCGCTGACATGAATTATAGTTTTTGCTCTCTGCCCATTTATATTTCTCGAAAATTTGCTGTCTCTGTTTAAACTTTAATCATTGTTAATCATGTTTACACCACAAAATGCATTTTGCATAATCTATGCGGTTCAAACATACATCGCCCCTTACAGTGTATCTTATATAATACCCTGTAAAGTGTGGAAATTATTGTTTCATATATGCATTTTGCTAGACGTGAGCGTAAACATTGCTTAATAAAACCACACACTGCTTCTACACTCTGGAGTCTTCTTTGAAGTCGGCGTGCATGTGCCCGAGAAGGAAAAAAATTAACATTGCAAACACATAAGCTAGCAAAACGGATGTATACGCAAAACGCAGATTGTGGCACAAAGTCAAAGTTCAAATGGACAAACACCAGGACTTTCCGCTGAAGCCTGTAAGCGCAAATAAACACCGTTTGCAGGCGCTAGTTTGCGACCACCCGTACAGGAGAAAATAAAGGCAATATTTAGTCTTAGTGAAGGTTTCATCTTCACAGAAATCGGGTTTCCCCATACTTTCTTCGTCCTGTGAAAGTGGAAATCAACCCAATTGCCTGACTCTCAGTGCCCCATTTGAAAAACTGGAAAACAAATAAACAATCCAGAAATATGCGCACTCAATAACTGCATATTTCCGTTGCTAGAGGCGCCACAGTCAACCGTTGCCACCAGAAATGCAGGCTAATAATAACGGAGGCAGTCGGGCACGAAAGTTGGCACGTAGAGCTATTAGGCCTAAAAACAATTCACTATGTTCTATTGCTTACAATGCGCTACACACGTGTGTGGTACCTGACAAGTTACTGTACCCGCTACCATCGACACTAATAGCAAAACGAATAATATCCATGCCGCAATAACAGTTGGCTGGTAAGCATCCACTAACTGCCAACTTACTTCCACAGTGAGACTCTAGTACCACTATCCAAAACCCACAAGAACTATCTCTTTCTAAATCACTCCTAATCAAACATTAGGAAACGTTTTCACAAAACTCTAGAGCCGTATCGTTGGCACTGACACGAACACCCACACGCCTTAGGACACTAACATCCAATTCAGCTTTATCCAATATTTGTAGATTATTTCCGTTACAGCTCTTGGCTGTCACATATAATTCCGGCTTGTATCCATTTCCTCTATTCACATGTGACTCAGATATTCAATTAACCAGATATGAGGATATTTCTCGGAAATTGCTCATTTGATGAAGTGTGTGTATTCTTATTTGTATTTTTAACATTGTCTATTCATGTCATAAGTTTGAAAAAAGACTTTCTAGACGCTATGTTCAGTTATTGTTCGTGACTTTACAATATCAAGATGACTAGCTATGCTTCTCGTTTTTTTTTCTGATATCTTTTATAGGTAAAAGAAATGTTTCGCTCCCCAGATCCCGCCTATATACACACTTGCTCACTTCTGATTGGTAGACCTTGAGTTGCGTTACCTTGGCATAAGGCTACGGGATGTTCCGCAATGCCGTTGATGTCGCGTTTGTAAATTTCAGCACGCCAGCGCTTTTAACACTCCAAAAACACTTACAAACTGGGTCTAAGACAACCCCCTCCTAAGGAGTGTTGCAACCTATGTAACAGGCATTTTCTTTCTCGGAAAAAAATGTAAATGCAAGACAACGCAGAAAGCAAATAACAGAGTGGCACACCTGTAATCTGCATGAAAGTAGACCAGCTCAACAAACTTATGAATGAAACGTGACCTAGTTTGTTTGAAAAGGCTAACTTAAACTTAACCCTTTTCTCTACACAAAAGTACCTGTTGCTTACTTTTCATCATCTTACCTCCACTAATACGTACATAGCACAGCGACTTCACACCTGTCCCTGTGATGATAAGCTCGTGAAAAAATGCACCTGGCTGACAATGAATGTCTAGTACTGTATCATTGACCACGGTTATATGCATGTCGTTGCATTCCACAGAAGTATTGTCGGTTCTGAGCTGAAGTGTGAAGTCTTGAGAATTTACTGTGTTGATGAAATATGAAATGGAAAATTTCAACACATTTCGTTATTCTTAAAGTGACCAATCTGATTATAGACCTAATAAAATAAATATATAGAGATACAAAGATGCTAAGATACAGACGGACAGACAGACAGACAGACAGACAGACAGACAGACAGACAGACAGACAGACAGACAGACAGACAGACAGACAGACAGACAGACAGACAGACAGACAGACAGATAGATAGACAGACAGATAGATAGATATATAGATAGATAGATAGATAGATAGATAGATAGATAGATAGATAGAAGATAGATAGATAGATAGATAGATAGATAGATAGATAGATAGAGAATAGATAGATAGATAGATAGATAGATAGATAGATAGATAGATAGATAGATAGATAGATAGATAGATAGATAGATAGATAGATAGATAGATAGATAGATAGATAGATAGATCGATAGATACATAGATAGATAGGATAGATAGATAGTATAGATAGATAGATAGATAGATAAGATAGATAGATAGATAGATAGATAGATAGATAGATAGATAGATCGATAGATAGATAGATAGATAGATAGATAGATAGATAGATAGATAGATCAGATAGATAGATAGATAGATAATAGATAGATCATAGATAGATAGATAAGAGATAGATAGATAGATAGATAGATCATAGTACAATATGTCATACATATAGATAGCATACATACATAGACCTATACATACTACGTACATAATACATACATACATACATAGATAGACATAGATACATACATACATAAATAGATACATACATACATACATACCATACACACACACATAGATACATACATCCCATAGCCATATCCTCCATAATCCATCCATAGATTAGATACATACATACATACATACATAAATACATCATACATACATACATAGACAGATATCATACATACATCATAGTACATACATACAACATACCTATGTAACATACATACATGACACACACACATTCTTAAATAACATACTACTACATCTACATACCATACATACATACAACATACATACATACATACAGACATACATACATACATACATACATACATAAATACATACACATACATACATACACATAATACCAACATACATACATACATACATACATACATACATAATACATACGATCCAAACATACATCACATACATACATACATACATCTACATACACCTACTCCATACATGCATCATACATACATACATACATACATACATACAGACATACATACATACATACATACATACATACATACATACATACATACATACATACATACATACATACATACATATACTATACATACTACATACATACATACATACATACATACTACATACATACATACATACATACCATACATACATACATACATACATACATACTACTACATACATACATACATACATACATACAACATACATACTATACTATACATACATACATACATACATAACATACATACATACATACATAATACATACATACTACATACATACATACATACATCCATACATACATACATACATACATACATCATACATACAACCTACAGACAGACATACATACTACATACATACAGACAGACATACATCACAGACACATACATACACAGACATACAGACAGACAGACTTACTACAGACAGACGACTACTCATAACTGAATAATGTATTCTTGTTCTAAACATCATCCAGTATGCATGAAGACTTATAATTAATGGATTTCGGACCCCCGTTGATATTTCTTTATGCGTTACCAGTCTGTCACGAAGACTGTTTTATCTATAATCGGCCTAGTTAAGAAATGAAGTCAGTCAACATTACCTTAGTATAGACTTGATGCATGATAAGCTAGATGTTGTCAAGACCCTTTAGGAGCGAATGAGCAGCGTAGAAGCACAGATAGAAATCACGGACTGAAGAGAATGGTACAGCAAAGAATGATGTGGGATAAGGCCGACACTCAACAGAGTGATTGAATGTCGAGCATAAAGCAGACTGTACTGGTACCATCGGCATTAGAACTGCAGAATATCGGAAGGCATGGTATTAGGAAGGAGAGTCAAGGGCCGACCTATGCGAAGATAGGCATAGGATAGAAGTGACTACTTTTACATGAAAGTACACGAGGGGGGAAACCTACCGAGAGACCGAGTTTCTGTAAAGCGACATTCTGCAAAGGACCTGCTTCATGATGATGATGATTGGAGCGGATCACTTTTGGGAACGTCTTGGGTTCTGTGATGTCGTTTTTAACTGCACCTAATTGAACTCAAACTATTTAGTGACCAACTCACCCAAGGCAATAACACTCAGTCTAAGCCAAGTAAAATAGTAGACATCGTTTAAGTAAACTGTGACCGACTCCTGGCCTGGATTACACTGAGTGTCTGGGAAGTCAGAAACCCATGCCGGCGTTGGAGGTAATGTACTTGTTGACGCCAGATCGACTACAAGAGGGGTTGGGGAAAAAGTGAACAAACACATTATGAATAATACAAGCAAGAAGTGGAGGAGTACAGTCTATTTATTAATCATTATCATATTGTAGGAGCTAATTTAAAGAAAGTTGCTCAAATCACAGCCTCTTGGGGGTGGGGGAGAGGGGACTCAGTCCCTTGCCAGCTCTCCCGCCTCGTGCACTTTCCTACCTAAGGAGTCTCGTATGCCCAAAGCACATCTTCGTGCTAGTTGACTCATGTCTTTCTTGTCCGGTACAATGTCTTCCGCTTTTTTTAATTTTATTCAACCGTGACGTTTTATTTAGCCGAAGTATTTCAGTTTCCGAGACCAAATGCTGTTTACCAGCCAGCTTTCCTTGAGGTTTATTTGTTTCATCATCATCATCAGGTGCCTTGCCGACTAGCGTGGGCGATCATGCCTCTCCATAATAGGCGATCTCCTGCAGCATGTATCAGTTCGTGTGCTGACACAACTTCATGTCATGCAACAAGACTGTCAAGCATCTTCTCTCGTTGTCTTTTTCTATCCCTTCTTCCACAGATCTTTCCAGTGGTCACAACATGTTCTATTTTCCCTCTTCTCATAACATGGCCAAAAAATGATGACTGACTCCTTCTGATGTCTGTGATAAGTTGTCTTAGGGCTCCCGCCTCTTTCAAAACCTCTTGGTTGCTCTTTTTGGCTGTTCAAGGTATTCTAGGCATTCTTCTGTAAAACCACATCTCTGAGGCCTCTAAAAATTGTCTGGCCTGCCTACCGATTGTCCAGGATTCACATCCATATGTTAAAACTGGATGTATGTAGCAAGCAAGAATTCTTTTTCTAACTCTCAATGACAAGGATATATTGCACAAGAAGTTTTTCATTTGATTAAATGCAGTTTTTGTCTGTCCTATTCTGTTTCTTATTTCAGTTATGCATCTTCCATCTGATATTATCCATGTGCCCAGATACTTAAATTTCTGTACATGTCCTAAAATAACACAATTGACTTTTACTACACATTTAGGAATAATTTGTTTCTTTGATACCACCATTACTTCTGTCTTCCCATTATTTAAACTGAGACCCATTCTTCCACTTTCTAACACCACAATGTCTATGATTTCCTGTAATTCTTTCTGACTTGCTGCTATCAAGAATGTGTCATCAGCATAACATAAATTGTTTATATTGTGCCCACCAACCACAACTCCAGGCAAATCAATTAAAGATCTCATTGTATATTCACTGTGTATTGAAAACAAATCAGGTGAAAATACACATCCTTGTCTTACGCCCCTTTTTATGCTTTGAAATGTACCTAAACAGTTGTTTATTCTTATAGCTGCTGTTTGCTGCAAATACATATTCTTTATTATTCGTAGATCTTCCCCATCAATGTTTAATTTGTCTAACAGTTTGATTACTTCTTCATGCTACACACAGTCAAATGATTTTGTATAGTCTATGAAGCATAGGTACAAATCAGTCTTTACTTCTATAGCTCTTTCTGACAATGTCCTTAGGATGTATATGGCATTGTTTGTACCTTTTCCTTCTACAAATCCACATTGTTCATCGCTGATTTCTGGTTTAATTTTGTTTTTTTTTATTCTTCTCATAATTATTCTCAGTAAAATCTTAGTCATGTGACTTATAAAACTTATTGTGCCATGGTCTTCACATTTTAAGTGCCTGGTTTCTTTGGCAGAGCTATAAATATGGTTTAATAATGTAATTATTTATGTTGTCAGCCGGGTACGATCCCAGCTGCGGACAAATTGTCTTGGGTTGGTTTCGACAGTAGCCCCGAGAACTGACCGTGCAGGCTGCAATGGTAAACTACTGAACGTAAAATATGCCTAGGGGAAAACTCACAACATGCAAAAAATAGTTGGGTTGGTTTGGCAATAAAGAATATACCTGGTCTGTAGAAGTCTGAGAACCGATCTTTAGTATTTCAAAAATATTTCACGGAACTATTGACGTTTTAGACAGAAACAAATACACATAGAAGAGCCATTTTTTTTTTACTAAACAGTAAAATTAATTACAATTTTAGCGAATCTGCTGCCAAAAAGTTAGAAAATATCATATGCGCCACTTGATGTTTCAGAGCGTTGTTTCTGACAGATATAACGCTGCAACAACATTCCATTGATTTCACGGTCTGGTTTCAAATGTAGTAGCTACATGAATGGTTAGGCGTCTTTGGCGGACTGAAATGATATTTCTGCGGTCGGACCCCAGGTTGAGGTACATGATCTATCCAGTGCACGTATTTCTGATACGCCATGGGTCATATGACCTGATGTAAAAGATTTCCTATGTAATTTTGTCTCATCGTATTCACACTAGATGGCAGAACCAATTGTTTTTTCCCCCAGTATAATTCGCTCACGATCTTTTCCAACTTTCTCTTTAGCACTCGCATTCATAACCGTGTATATTCTTGTGTTGATAACGAACTTAATAAGACGGAGTGTTTCACTTTGTTCTAGTGCTGTTTTCATTTTGCCTTGGATAAGAGTAACGAATCTATTAACAGCTAACTAAAATATGGTAATACTTGAGAGGAAATGTAAGATCACACATACCGTACTGACAAGATGGACCGAACCATCCCCTTTCGCAGGTTGACGACTCAGTGCATTCTCCGTTGTCATTACATTTGTTATTTACACAATGGCATTTGTACCGACACGGTGAGCCGAACCAGTTAGTGGCGCAGGGTGGAACTTGGACAAAACAAATGTAGACAACTAAATATACATTTAAACAAAGAAGACAAAAACAGATGACAGAATGTATCGCCCAGCAGTTCTTCTTTTTCGTTCGTTATTAAAAGGGTTATAAAAAAGATCGCACAATTTTTTGCCTGGCAATTCGTGTTTTTTTCTTCTTCTGCGTCCGCTATTAAAGGGTTATTGGAATGTTGTGCTGTTTACGTTAGGCTGTGATTACTGCTCCTTTTGGGTCAACACTTTTGATTTTACCAGCTTCTAATTAGTCGCTTTGAACGTCACACTTACATTTGGCAGTTGGTCTGTTTATGTTCTCATTATATGGGGTCCCGGAACCCACAAGGAAGCCTGGCTATTTTAAGGCAGATATTATTTTTGGGATCAGTTCTACTTTAGGTAAAGCTTCCAAAAACAAGTGCTTAAAGTAATCTTGCCACAGGAAACAAGCAGGCTACAGTTTTATGTTACCACAGTATAAGCCACTATTAGGGAGCTCAATGGAGGGAGATTAGAAATGGTACTCAAATACACCATTTTGACCAGTCTTTTTTTCAACTAACAAAAACACGAGGAATCGCGAACGATCGTGATAGAAACAAAACACAGACCACCAGGTTGGTATTGTGTGTTAAGATGCTTCTTCGCGTCTGTCTTTGCAGTCAAGTCACTCATATTTTCAACACACTGCACATCGGCTACCGGGTCGCCCGCCTGTTGGCTGGTAGACGACTCCTCGTCGGTCAGGACAGAATTTGACTCTGTCCCCTTTGATCGCTTCAACACTAATAAGAGTCCTAATCGGGGTTCTTTGTGCTTGCAATACTAAGCCAGTTTGAATGGCACACATAACCTAATCACAATTATAACCTAAAGCTCCCCCTTCGAGGATGCTTGTTGAACGTGACAATTGTTATGTGTGATTTAACAGTAAACTAAACGACCCTTTACACGTAAATGTGCATGCGGTCACATGCTATGTGTAAAGACCAATCTGCATTCAGCCGATAAAGTGGTCAGTATCACGCCGGCCACCTTTACTTCCCCGAGCATTACCTAGTACCATGTGTAAGGCTATAAAAGATAACATTTCTATGCTGATTCAAACCCAAAACTTTCGGGCCGGTAGGCGAGCGTGTCGCCGCTAGACTATCGCGGCCCCAAAGTAAAATATATATGCAGATAAATGTCGGCGTCTGTGGCTTAGGCGGAACGCACGCGCTTAGTAATGCGGGAATGCCGGTTTCGATCTCAGCTACGGGCCCTCTGTTGGTTTCGACAGAGCTATCAAGAAGCTGATCGTCTAGAAAGAAAATGGCAAACTACTGGACGCAGATTTGCGTAGAAAAATCACAACAGCCAAAAATTGCTGAAACTTCGTTTTGCAAGGTCGTATAAAGGATTAGCAGCTTACTTAAGACAGAACAATAGAGATGTACTTGAAACCATATGAATTAATGAGAAGGAATACACGAACATAAAGAAGCCCGGTTTTTTGTTTTAGAAGAAGGAATGTCAAGACACAGTTTACTCATGACTTCTAAGCACTTGACTAAACTGTTGCTGGCTTTATCTCAGCGTCTTGGTCATACGTCTTAGTACACTTGTTTCTGTGAGCCGGCGTTGCCACCCGTGGAGGTAACAGGTTCGATTCCTGTCATTGTAACTATTACTCTAGATGTGTATGTTGTCTAGTGTGTCTTTCTATCTTTAGTTCTAATCAATAGTCTATTTGTTGACTATACATACAGCCATTGTTTCACGGTAGTATATGAAAGAATAAATAAATGCATTGTCTTTGAAAGAATCATCATTATTTACACGTGAGGGAAGCAATAAGGTGCTGGACACGATCTGAAGGCCTGTCATGTAAAGGAAAAGCTTGACATGTGTACTGTTCGAAGATTAACACTTAACTTCGAGATGTTTGTAAGAAAACAAAAGAAACACATTTCAAAGAGCCTCTGATAAACTGACATCTTCATTTAATTTTAAAAAAAATCAATAAATAGCAAAACATTTATGCAACCATAGCATTTTACTTTTACCTTCACAGCCACACGAGTTAGCCCTCAGCATTAAACACAGCGACAGAAATTGAAGAAACCGTATCAGCGAAAGCCCTTTTCCCATATTCTGTAAAACTAAAAATACAGGTTAAACAATGTTTATACACACATGTATATTAGTTATCAGTCACGAGCTGCCTCATCTTCCCGATACTCAGGACATGCCCTCAGGTTTTCAGATTCCTGCTTCGACAT